GATTGTTTTTTAAAAGCTGCAGACTAAATTTAGCAACGGTTTTTCAAAACCATCGCTAAATACACTCGGTTGGTTTAGCGATGATTTCGATAAACCATCACTAAATACAAGCTAAAATTACCAACTCGTTTAGCAATAGTTTTTAGAAAACGTCATTACATTCAACTTGTTTTGGTTTTTTTTTTTTTTTTCTGATTTTTAACGATGAATAAATCATTTCTAAATTAGCAATAGAATGCTTAAACCGTTGCTAATTATTTAATAAAGAGCTTTTTAGCGATGGTTTAGACCATCGTTAAATCGTCGCTAAATTTAATTAGTAATGATTTAAATCGTCATTAAATGAAGTTTTTGTTATAGTGTTGTTGGTTTTTATCATGATCATTACTTCTTTCTTTTTTAAGTGAGCAAAGGCAGGATCGTATTTAAGATAAAAGTAAGCGAATTGATAAAAAAAATTGTTAAGATAAATTTTTGTCTTGTGTCCACGTAAGGGTTAGAGAGTTGATGATACACGGATGCAAGTCAAAAGGTTTGGGTTTCATCAATTAAAATGGAATTTTAGATTTAATTAACATTTTACTCTTTGGAGTACTAAACATGTAAAACAGTAAGTAATTTCTCTGAGATGGTATAGATGCAACTAGAAAACACAAGTTTAATTTTCTTACCGTCCCTCTCGCCAAGCTCAATCATGGAATTAAATGGCAACTAAATCCGCAACCAGTTATCCTACAGAGAGTTTTGAGCTTGCGGGTAGAAATTTGAGGTTTCAGTTATTCAAACAAAAAGGACCAGACTAGTCGCATGGACAGCGATTGTGAAGGTGTAGGTAGCAGCTAAAGGTTTCGGGTCGATATAGAAGCAACAACCCCAATCAGTCACCTACCTGTCTTTCTTGCTAAGGACACTGAATGATATTTAACCAAATGGTAAATTGGGCATAAAACTGAAGAAGTGGGTATTAAATTAATTAGAGGGTGTTGGGGCTTTATCAAAAGGGTTAAGCAGGAATAATCAAGAATGGGGCCTTAGCAATTATTTGGATGGAACGTCTTCTCTTCTAAATATTGCTTTCTGGTTAAGATAAGAACACCCCCTTCTTGAAAATTATAGTGCCATAGCCGAGCACTCCAACTAACTTTTTCCCAAATTACGTAAAAAATATGTAGCTTTAGGAGTTTAGAAAAATATGAAAAATTATATTCACCTGAACAGAGTTAAGACATGACCTTCCGATGTGACATTCAAAATGGTTCCTCATTTTCCGTTTGCGTTTCAAGCGAAACCAGCGTTTGCACACTGTTCCTTCTTTTTTTTTTTTAATCCTTTTAAATTAATTGGCGTCCATCTTGTTTCATTGTACTTTTGAGAAACGAATTAATTAATTTTTTTTAATTTTTAAACATTAATTATTTAATTTTTATATTTTTAAATTTACTCATAATTTAATTATTTTTATTCTTTTTCAATTTATTTTGATTTTATGTTTTTAAGAAATAGAAAAAGAAAACATGTGAAAAAATATATATAAAAATTGATGATAAAAAAAGACATTTTATAGAATTAAAATAATATCAAATTAAATATGGTGATTAAAAGATTAAATAATAATTTTTAAAACAAAAGAACTAATTTATTTATTTCTTGAAATTAGAGGGACTAATTTATAATTTACTCCATGTTTAACTAGGTTATTTGTTTTGAAATATCTTTATAATCTTTACTTATAGTTTCAAAACTCAAGGGAAACTGTTCCATGATATTAACAACGAAAGTCAAGCTTGAAACCTCAAATTAGATAAGTTTTTTAATTGACTCAAACTTTTATGAGTGCTAGTCTATGTTAGAGTAAATTATAAATTAGTCTTTTTTAGTTTTTTTATGAATTAAACAGTTTTTTTAGTTTTAAAAGTTAAGTAATTAGTTGTTATTTGTTAAATCTATTTCTAATTTAATTATTTTTATTTTATTTAGATATTTTTTAAAATAAAATAATATTAAATTAAGTATGATTAATATTATCAAAAGACTAATTAATTCATTTTTAAACTACAAAAGAGTATTTAATTCATTTCAATTTGGTAGATTATTCCTCCATTCTTAAATCAAATTTAAAGAATACAAAAGCGCTAAATAGACAATTATGTTTTATATTTACAAAACTGCCTTTCAAAAGTGATGCTGTGTTGCTTTCGAATAATAGAACACGGGAGTCATGGTTAGTAGTACTTGGTGATGGAGGAGGATAAGATTCTCGTTTAAACAAGAAGGGTTATTCTTTGTGAAAACCTAAGGTTATTGTTTAAAAGACAAAAAAGACAAAGCTATCTGCCAATTTCCTATCTGGACTTGCCTATGCAACGAAGCTGTTAACCTAGTTTTTGATGGTTCCATCGGTTGGTATTCTTCTGCACACTTTATTCTAAAAAAAAAAAAATAAAAATCAAATAATAGGTACTGATAAAAACTTATCCAATGATTAATTCCTCTGGAGTGGTTAAATTGCACAGTTCGTCCTCTCCTCCACTTCCACAAACAAACAAACGTTAGGAGCATTGAATATTATTAAAAAAAAAAAAAAGATTCGATTCTTATAGCACTAATTTATTTACCAACTCCAACATGAAATAAAAATTAAAGACGTGTGTATGAGATTGAGGATGGTGGTAGGTACAATATTATTCCATAAATATGCTAAATAATAATCAATTAAGGAAAGAGCAACCAGTTTGGCATTATTTTTTATTAAACGAAAACATTTATCACTTGCAGCATTCTTGTTGACAAAAGGGACCTGGCATCTTCCTGAATGATTCGAAACCAACCTTGAGAATTAAAGAGACTAAAGAAGTAGGAGGAGAATTCTAGCATGTATATATATATAATGTGTAAATTGTTAAGAGACTTAATGAGTCGATTTGCTTTCACGTTATCTTTCAACTTCGAATATTAGAAAAGACCATAAAAAAAAAAAAAAAAAAAATTCTGGGATGAATGTATTAATTTTGATATATGAAAATTCATAATATATATAAATAGAGAGAAATGTACAATTTTCTGTTGAAAATAAGTCAAAACAAAGATGTGAGGGATGAAAAAGCAAAATCACTAAACTTGCTTGTATTAATTTATACTATAAAAAGAACATTTATTCAACTTTTACAAAAGCATGTTTGATGCTTAAAAAGTCGGTCCACTTCGTAGTTTAGTTGATCAAAACCATGAACAGAGAGTTTTTATTTCTTCTCTTTTCTTTTTTTCCAGAAAAGAAATATCGTGAGATCCATAAAAATAATAATATCAAATAGGAGAACCAAAAACAAGCATCGTTTTTCAAAGGGAAAAAAAAAAAAAAAAGCCATATTTTTAAGGCATCTGCTTGTAACTTTGTTTTCTTTTTAAGGTCATTACTTTTAGTTTTTCCTGTTTGAAGGCCTACATTGCCAAAATTTTATCGATCAAATTTTGTTTTCTTAGAGCATCTCCAATAAAAAATTATGTTAATTAGGTGTTAATTATCCTTCAATAGTAAGCTAACTACGTAAGTAGTGTTATTAACCATCTTTTAAACCTGCCGATTAAAAAGACCGGTGATTGATCCAATTTTGGGAGTAAGGGTCCTGAAATAGAAAACAATTAAATATTGAGATCCTGAAACAGAATAAAATCACACGCACAGGTATTAAATTTGCACTTTATCAATTTCAAAATTCAAATTGTGAAGCAACCAACGGCGTGTAATGACAGAGCGAACACCGACGAGACGCACTTAAAAACAAAAGACTATAAAAGAAACCAGTAACAGAAACAAACACACAGACAGAGAAAATTCACACAGCTCCACAAGGCAAACAGAAAGCGAAGGACGAAACGGAAAAAAAAAAAAAGACCACCAAACACACAGGGAAGAAACCTTGCTGTCCTTGCAATATTCTTCCTTAACAGATCGGGCTCAAAACCGTGAGTTATTTGAGAAATTTGCCACTTTCTGATTCAATCTTTCACTCTGGATCTGTTTCTCATTTCATTGCATGCATGTAATGTAATGTAGGTTCTAATTCGTTATTGCATTTGGCTTATTCGATCTTTTCGGTGTTGTTTTGCTTGCCTTTTATCTTCTCTTCGATCTATCTATGATTTTCTTTTTGGTTTTTTTGGATCTCTACCGAAAAATCTACCTTTTCTTTTCCTTTTTAGTTTGCAAAATAAATCTATTTCTGTGTATGTTTGGTTATTGAGAAAGTGCGGCATGGGAAACTAACAGAAATTGAAGCTTTATTGTTCTAAGTACAGTGGAGTCGCACCAGGAGAGTGAAAGAGATAATGTCTGGTTGTTTTCTTATAGTCGAAATGTTTGTGTTTCCTTGAGATTTATGTGATGTAATTCTCCTTGTTTTCCTAATGGATGATTTCAAGCTAAAAAAAAAAGAGTGCTATTCCTGTGTATATGTCATTTTCCTTATTGAATGAAATAATTTGCTCAGCTAAAAAGAAATTGGTTTTTGTTCCATTTAACTTTGTTTTTGATTCTCCTTTGCTTAATTGGAAAATGGGATTTCTTTTTCTGGGTTTAATTATTTGTTGAGTCTGTCAACTTGGGTTTATTGGCATAATCATGCATTGGGCATACATTATACCGATTTTATTAACTTCTTATTCTCTGGTGTTTATTAATTTTTGCTCCTCAGCTACTCATGTTGTTTACGAAAATGATTCTGTTTGTTTGATGCTTTTTTTTTTTTTTTGAATAATTTGCATAACTTTTGCGTGCTTTTTAAAGCCACCATGAATTAAGGCAATTAAAGGGACGACTGGAGAGATAAAATTGTATAGCTTCAGATTATTTGTGTTCATTTAACACTGGCTTCACTAAAATTACTAAAATAATTAAAGGGGGAACTGGAGTGGATGTAGTAAAGGTTTTTCTGTGACACAGATATGCATGAGGATATGATTATTAATGCGATTGTGATTCTTGTATTTCTTGATCCAGTGACATGGGTATAGAAGTTACTGACATATGCATGGACAAGGAGTCAGACTGTGTCATCATTTATTCAAATGGTGTCTCCCATGATCCAACTCATGAAACTGTTCCTGATGATCATGGCGTTCTGGAATCCTATGAGCCAATCAATGGGGTTCCTGAGATCCATAGTTCGGAGGAGAGTACTGAAGCAAAGGAATATGAGGTGAAGGAATGTACCACTGAAGTCTCAGTTGAGGTTACTGAACTTTCTCATGCTGAAGAAAGCAAGGAAGGCCAGGCTGTAGTATGCTCAAATTTTGAGGATGGCTTGAAAGTGGAAAAGATCAAAGCAATAAACCAAAAATCAAAGCATAGTGATCAGAAAAAATCATCTACAAAGCATGCATCAAAACCTGCTCCTCCTGGAATTGCTCGAACGAAACACACTGTTCCTCAGCCATTTTCCCTGGCAACTGAAAAGCGTGCTTCATTGGGAATTCGTCCTTCTGGCGAAACTGATATCACCAATGTTGTGAACAAATCATTCAAGGCAAACAATGTGCTACGTCCAAACCCTATAAAGCAGAATCAGGTAACTCCTGCAGCCAAGCATAAATATTTTTTAATTGTTAATTTAGCCTTCAGAAGGAAGCTCATGTAGCAGAATCAACTGCTTACTGCATGGCTTTCAAAGTTGATATGTTTCCGCTCTCAAAAAAAGAAAAAAGGATATTGTTTCATAATGTGAAGGTAAACTTTGATGTATTGGGAAATTGTGTTTTAGTATAACCAAGGGCTTGGAAAACTATGCTCCTAGCTGATCCTGGAACTCTTGTTTGCTTAACTGCAGCCACTTTTGGTGCCAAGGAAGCCACTGCAACCAAATAATAAGAAGCATCCAGAGGAGGAAGATAATTGTTCTGTCACTTCCTCGTATCCTCTTTCTAGCAGATTCAGTTTGAACTAATTTTCTTTTGTGCATTAAACTTCTGTCACCTCTGTAGCTCCATTTCTTTTCTTGATTTCATTCCTTGACTCTGCATAGTACCACAGCATCTGCACGGCTTGTTAAGTCCAAGCCAACTGCTGCAGCAGCCCCTGTATTTAGAAGCACTGAACGTGCTGAAAAGCGGAAGGAGGTAATGCCTTTATTACTTTTGTTTCATTCAGAGTTGAAGTTCTGTTTTCTTTCTTTCTTTCTTTATTTTTTATTTTTTTTTAATGCAAGTCCTTCGGTTGAAAACATACCTGAAGGCCAAGACTCAAGGGTTTGATTATGTTTCAATCTTCTAGTTCTATTCAAAGTTAGAGGAAAAACATCAAGCATTGGAGGCTGAGAAAACCCAAAGTGAAGTAAGGACCAAGGTAAAGTATTTCAACTAGCTCGAATCGCTTGATAGCAAAATGTAGTTAAGAGTCCCTCTCATGTATCAACTTTAGCTGTTGATGTTTCGTCGTCAAAGCAAATGATTCTGACGTATTTCTTTTCTTGATTTGTCTTTTCAATCAATAAAAAATTTCAAGGAAGAGAAGGAGGCAGCCATCAAGCAACTGAGGAAGAGTTTGATGTTTAAGGCTAGCCCAATGCCAAGTTTCTACCATGAAGGGCCACCACCTAAGGTTGAACTAAAAAAGGTAGTGCATATAGATTCATCACCATTTTTGCTGTTGTTGTAAAGATTTATAGAAAAGGTTTCCAGGATGTTGTTTTTTAACTACTTAAGTCATCAAAGTACTCAGCAGAGATTGATGACAGAAAATTATGTACAGATGCAAGTTGCCTAGGATAACAAGTTTGCTATGATTAAAAACTCGACTAATGTGCTTTCATCTGAATGTCAGCTGCCACCAACACGTGCAAAATCACCGAAGTTGGGCCGAAGGAAGAGCTGCAGTAATGGAGTGAATTCATCTCAACCAGACAGAGTGAAAGGAGCTTGTATTGATGGAAATAACCAAAGTCAGGGTATTTTCAGAGAAGATATCAGCAACCCTGTTCCTCAACATAGTGTCCTGAAAGGCCATGCCATTTGCAAATTTGAAGATGAAACCAAGCAAGCAGGGGAGATAGATGAGTCAAGTCTACCTGAGTTAAAGGGACAGAGTTTTGCAGACATTGGCCTTCAGTCTTAATATTGTGGTGAGTTCTTAATTCTTAATTTATAAGTGACAAAAGGTCCCAATTTTTCTCTTTCTGCGACTGCTTGAAGAATGTGAATGTTGTTCCCTTTTAAGTTGCAAGGACTTGTTGCAGTGTTCACGTAATGTATGAAGTGTAAATTTTCTGTAACTTATACTATCTATGTAAAGCATTTCCTTTTTTCCGTAAACGGCTTGCATTTTGCAGTCTTGTTGAGTAGTCTTTTTTACTAATGGGAGACCTATTTTTCCTTCTACCTTTCCGTGTGAAGGAAATGATCAGGAAAATGGGAAACAAACTGCCGGTCTACCGGTTTTTGATCCCTGTTTCATTCAAATTAGCTGTTTCTAAGGTCTATTTTACATTAATCTGGTAATAGGGCTGTTAAAACAACAAACAGTGGAGGTTGGAACATTCTGCAGAAAAACAGAATTTGAAGAACTGTACGAATTTGATATTAATTTTGGTATAAAAAAGGTGAATTGCTTAAAGATCGATAGTTATATATACACTTGTTTGATGATACGAGTAATGTTATAAATAATCCGGCATTGAGAAGGGGGAGGATGTAAAAAGTTAAAAAAGGAAGGAAGAGGGTCCTCTCAAAATGAGAATCATAAGCGCGCATGCTAGTAGTCAACTCTTTGACTGTAGGGCGTATGATAAGATACCATGCAGAAACAATCAAATCCTAGCTATAAGCCCATTCGATGTGGTCATGGGCCATGAGTCCAACTCTCCAGCCTCTTTTTTCAAAGAATAAGCCGTAAGGTGGTAAAACTGGAGTTGGGCATAGGCCCAGGATTCGATTTTGGGTTATACGAAAAGCTTGATGCGACTCTGACGTGGTCCACGTGTATCTTTTTATCTACTTTTCTTTTTCGCTTTTTCCGATTCTAATAAATTTATTTTGTTTCATCATTGCATGGATCGGTGATAGATTTATGATTGGAAATATTGTTATATATGAGAGACAAATTGGCTATAATTAGACTTTCGCGGACATATATTGGGCTTAATTCTCAAATATAAAGAAATGTAAAGCTAATTCTGCTATCTAGAGCAATACTAATATACTAATCTTTCATATAAACACTGGCGTGGTAATTATTCTATTCATATTCATGCTTAATAAATCATTTAAAATTTGTGAGATTCAATATTCAACATTTTATGCAATTAAGATGAATTTTTAAAAAGATTTTTATTCTTTTTGTTAAAACTTGTGGCAATTTTTGAGAAATGGTAAATGATTGAGAATTGATGAATCTTAGTAAATTTAATTCACGTTTTTGTAGAAATTAAATCATAATTCACTAAATTGGCTCTTAAAATAATATAACGTGACTATGTAATCTGATTATTTAATATAGATATCTTAAACTCATTTCTTTTAAAATTTTTTAAAAGAGTTAGAGTAGAGAGTTACCAAAAAGAAATCCCACATAATTACACTAATGTGGATACAAATTGATATCTTAAACTCATTTAGAAGAGTTAGAGTAAAGAGTTACCAGAAAGAAATCCCACATAATTACACTAATGTGGATACAAATTGAGTTTCCTAAATAGACACTAAATAAAAGTAGAAACACTTAATTGAAAAAAAATTACAAAAATATAGACATGTAAATAAAATAAATAAAGCAGAGATACATGATTAGAAAACTTGTATAACTAAAGTCACTCCATTGTTTATTGCATATATTTTTCTTAAAAAAAATTATAAGAAGGTTATTATCTAAGGTGTTGTTTGGTTATAAAAAATGAAAGATAAGAAATGAGAATATAGGAATAGAAATGAAAATTAGTGAATCAGAATGATATTTGTGTTTTCATATTGTGTTTAGAATATTAATGAGAAATCAAAATGTAATTTAAATTTTTTAATATCTGAATTTTTATACAAATAAAAATAATGATTAAAAAATAATTTTATCAAATTATATTGATAGTAAAAATAATAAAATGATGGTGGTAGTGGTTGTTATGGTGATAATAATGATGATAGAAGTAGTTAATAGATAATAAATAAATAAAATATATTATTACTTTGAAAAAATAATTCATTATCATTTCTTATTTTTATTTACATGTTAAATAGAAATGAAGTTATATATAATTTTTATTTTCATTCTAACTTTATTTTTTTAACCATATGGATAAAACTTCATTCTAATTTTACAATTCTATTTCTATTACCAAACAGAATCTAAAAGTTTTTTAAATTTTCAAAAATGCCATCCATCCTCTTATAGCATTAACCTCCGTCCCGACCCTGAAATGTTTTGGCTGCTCCTCCATATTTTTCTTTCGTCACTATTTGATAGAGAGTAGAGAGCAGAGACGGAGCTTAAGATGGAGAGAATGAGAGCTTAAGCGAATTTGATAACGGAAGTTCAAGGGATCAGGCCTAACCCACTAACACTAATCAAGGTGAGTTAAAAGTTTTATTTCTCTCTTAATCTATGCTCATATAATTTCAATTTTTTTTCTATGCTTGGGTAAATCAAAACTTTGTTTAGAGTTGGTTTTTAATTGGGATAGGTAAGGTGAGGAATCTTGATTTAAACTGGTTTCGGACCTTTTTTATGCTCTTATCCATGTTTTTGTTTTGTCTAGAATTTATTTATCTGTCGAGTGCAAGGGAATATGTTTTTTTTTCTTGAATTTAGAAAATCAGATTCGGCTTTCAAGCGAGAATGCGTAATTGATAAGCTTAATATTAATGACTGAAAATGGCTTCAAAACGTGAAAACCCATTCATGTATGATTTTGTTTGCATACTTGTGCTCGCCTTTCTCTTATGAACAAATACAATATTGTGATTTTTACCCTTTTCGAACGCATTTTCAGCTTGTCTTTCACTGTTAGTAAAATCTACCTTCAGTTTTTGTCACCCGAGCAATTTTCATTATTTTACAAATTTCATTATTTATGCAAAATAGCATTGTTAAGATGTATTGGCGGACAATGCAGGTGCAAAGGTGAAAACATGAACGCATTCCAGGCTTTCAAAGCCCAAGCTCCGATTACATGGAGTCCTCACCTCTATATAACCTTGGTGAGGGGCATTCCCGGAACTAGAAGACTTCACAGGCGTACCTTAGAGGCTTTACGTCTTGGAAAGTGCAATCGGACTGTCATGCGATGGAATACTCCTACTGTCAGGGGGATGCTCCAACAGGTTTAATATCAACTCACAATGATTATTCAAATTTTCGTCTGAAGAAAACATGTCTTCAAATACTTGCAATTGTTTCTACTTTTAGGTCATTTTGTTCTTATACATTGATTGTTTTTTCATCAGGTGAAGAGGTTAGTTGTGATTGAGACGGAAGAGATGCACAAGGCCCGTAAACAAAATGTTGCAAACCACCGAGCTGTACGTCCCCCATTGGTCATAAACCACTTGCCTGCCTCTGCAAGCACTTCCTCTTAAGTGTGCGTTCTTCTAATGCAAATCTTTGGAGGTCAGCTCTGTTTCTTAAAATGTGCATTTGTTGTTCAAGCTATCTATTTTCAAGCAGTGAATTTACTAGAAGTATTAATTTATTAAACTGGAATTACAGTTTTCCTTGGCCTGTGTAGTGGGGCAGTGGATTATAGAACTCTTTCATCTAGTGCTTACCCAGACACAAGAATTTCCAAAGTAGCAATCTTATTCACATTTTTTTAAGCTTTGTAATTTGACAATTGGCTTTTGAATACTTTAATTGGACATTGATGTCCAGTCATAATTTCGTGTAAGATCTTAATTTATAAGAGGCAAGATGTCTCAGTTTCTCTTGTTTTTGGTGACTGCTCTGAGGAATGTGAATGTTGTCACCCCCTGTATAACTTGCAATGTTCATTTAATGCATGAAGGGTAAATTATCTGCAACTTATGATTTCTATATAATCCGTTCCCATTTTTTCTGCAAACGGCTTGGTTTTGAACTTTCTGTTTGGAACACAGGGAAAGTGTGGCACAAGTTGCTGGTCTTCCAATATTTGATTCTTATTTTACACACTTCAGTTAGCTGATTTTACTTGTCTTTTCTACTAATCTGAGAATTGAAAAACATGTAGTAACTGCATTCAGTGGAAAAAATGGAAAGCTATGTAGTATGGGAATGTAGACTTGCAATGTTAATACATACTGGTTTGAATTTAACTAAGATTGTGTTTACTTAATGGTCGTTTATTGGATTATGTTCTTGAATGGTCCGTCACACGCACAATGAGGATGTAAAGTTAAGGAAGCAAGGAGAGGGGTCCCTAAAGCTGGGCTGTGCTTTGTTAGGATGGAAATTTGTCCTTTTACTAAATCTTTGTTTGCATAATTATAGTAATCCTCATCATGAAAAGCTCTTAAAGCAAAAGGAAAAAAAGATGCCCGTAGAGCGTAAAGCACCTTGTGTGTGGGTGTTTTTGGTAATCAAACAGCAAAAGGAGACTTTTTTGTGGTGGAAAAAAAAAGAAAAAAAAACAACAATTTCTGGTCAAAAGGACTTGCATAAAGATTGGGTCTGCTTTAAGCTCTTGAATTCCAGTGCATCTGTCAATTTTTTGTCCCAAATATCATCGCATTGAGATGTCCCAAAATTTGCATCCACAAAATAGGTTACTCAAGAAATGAGAAACAGATCTGAGAGCTCAAGTAATGTTATTTTTATTCAGTCTTGTTCAATACAAGTTCATACTTGGCTGGTATGAATGATTCCAGATTTTCAGATTTTTGTTGATGGATTTTTTTTGACATTCGTATAGTTGATGTTGTTGTAAGGCTCTTGTAGTAGAGTGAGCACCTACTTGGTAGCTTTGGTGATGAAAACTTTATTTATATAAAATACAATCTCTACAACCGAGAACAGTTAGGTAAAACCGATACCTTATGTGCTAGAACGGTTTGATGTCCAATTTTGGTTCATTTTATGCAAGTCAAACCGAAATCGAGTCTAATGTTAAGCTATAAAATGCTAGGAAAAAAAAACACGTTTGAATGTGGTAAAAAAATAATTAATTAGAGTTAAAAAAAGAAGAAGAAGCAAATTTGACATTGTTTTTAATTAATAATATAATTTGAGCTTGTTCTTATAATGAACAGATTTTAAATCGATTCAATTGACTAATAAATGAATATCTTAGCTAGGCGAATGCAAGCCAGCCAAACTTGAGCGACTTGGTTTGGTTTACGTGGTTGCCTTTTACAGATGTCCAAAGAAGACCTCATTCTATGCAAAATTTTCTAACCTTGAGAGCTTATGTAGTAAATGGGTTTATCATCTCGATTCTGAATCTGCAAGAAAGGTTGTGGGAAAGAACCTTATTATGAATGGATTGATTGTTGATGGTTTGCTTTGAACCTGACCGAGGAAAGGACTTAGTACTGTGTAAAGCTAACCCAGCAATATATGGACAAAACTATATATATATATATATAAAAGAAGGTAAATATCATTAGTTTTCATGTTTTCCCACTGTTCAGATTCTGGTGCAAGGGCGAGAGCCTCGGGACTTGTGGCTGCAGGAGCATAATTTTTTGAGAGGTAAATTCCCATTTTCCCAATTTGTTTGAGGGAGAAGTGATATCGGGCAGCAGCAGTATTAAATCAATTACCTTTTTTTTTTTTGCCTTATCAGATGTTGCCAATTTATTTCAGACAGAAGCAGGGTATTGTTATATGAGAAGGAAATTACTATTTCAATAGCATAGCTATCTTCCATGCATGCACTGGATATAGTATTTGATCCAACCGTGCATTCGATGGTTCAGCTTCAGTGCTCTCTAAGCAGAAGACTTCAAAGTAATGCCATATATCTTTAATGTCATTTTCCCATCTGTACCATGTCAGTTGATCCTTGATGTTTTTTTAGTAATAGAGATGGCTTATTAAAATTTTAAATTGCAATTGGTTGATTAACTTTTACATACATGGTAATATTCATGTTACACAGTATGCATCACTTAATGAACTCTTTTCTTTTCCCTACTTTTTCCTCTCATGCCCACTTCTCCATTCTCCTTTATGGCTCTGTTCAAAGATTTAACAGGCCAGCCTGTATTTCTTTCCATTTAAGCTTGGAATCGAACTGTTTGGGGCAAACATTGATGAAGCTTCTCTCACCTCCAATCTTCCCCTTTTCCTCAAGTGGGAAACCAAGACAGAGATATCCTTTAAAGACACCTGTCAATGTCATCATGCATCAACAAGTCCTTTTTTTTTTAATTCATTTCATTTTTAAGTACTCCAATACGAATATTAATTAGTTTCTTAGGCAATGAATAATATATTTTTTTTCAATTGATCTGCATTGAATAATTTGCTTATAAGATGTGTTAATGAAAGGTGAGGCAGGTGGGACGTAGCTTTTGGCATGTAACAGACCAGAAAAATCTCTCAGCCATTACTTGTGTAACACTTAAAAATCTAATTTATACATAATAAAAATTCTAAATATGAATTTAAGCTCTATCTTAATAATAACAAGAAAGAACACGTTGTTATAAAATAAATAAAAATAGAAAAATTGAAGTAAATGATAACAAGAAAATGAAATCATTATAATGTGAACGAAGTGATAAAAACTTCAAAGTTTATCTTATTCTCTCTAAAAAACTTGTACGCCAACTAATGAACAATTAAGCTTATTTATAGGTTTTAAAATTGATAAGAGAATTGAAAGGGACAATGAATAATCAATTGCATCACCCTTTCAATTTCTCATATTGAATGATGAATTAAATCATATTAAGAATCATAAGTAGTGGGGATATGAAAAGTGGATGAACATGATGATGTATATTTATTATTTCATAACACTCCTCCTTGAATATCCATTATATAAGGAACATGCCTCGTTAAAACCTTACGAATAAAAAACCTAGTGGGAAAAAATCCCGGTGAAGGAAAAAGAATACAATATTCCTTGCACACATTAATCCTCATTTTGATCTCTCTCTGTTGAATGCATTATTTAAGATCTCTAAGACGACGCATTCTAATCTTGTGAATCATCTTCTCAAAAATTATGGTAGGTAATGCTTTAGTGAATAAATCTGTCTGGATTGTCACTTTGATGTATTCTTCCTTCAATGGAATTATGCAAGCAACATTATCCTCATATGATATTGTTAGAACTTCTTTTACTAGTAGATAAATTGCATGTCTCTCGGATACAATGGATCGTTGATCTTAGCCAAACACATTCTCGACTTGCCTCGTGAATTGATATTTTTGTATGATTTGAAGATGTGACGGCTATAGTTTAAGATCGTTGGTCTCTCCTCGTTGAAGGCATTATTTAAGATCTCTAAGACGATGCATTCCAATCTTGTGAATCATCTTCTCAAAAATTATGTTAGGTAATGCTTTAGTGAATAAATCTACTAGATTGTCACTTTGATGTATTCTTCCTTCAATGAAATTATGCAAGCAACATTATCCTCATATGATATTGTTGGAACTTCTTTTCTTGGTAGATAAATTGCATGTCTCTCGGATACGATAGATCGTTGATCTTAGCCAAACACATTCTTGACTTGCCTCGTGAATTGATATTTACGTATGATTTGAAGATGTGACGAGCTATAGTATGCTTTATAGAACACAAACATATAACTGGATCTCCATATGTAAATATATAACCAATTATGATCTAGCTTTGTGTAGATCGGATAAATAACACTGCATCTGCATAACTAATTAATTTTGTCTTTGATTTATTGGAGTAATATAAGCCCATATCAACTATTTCTCGAAGATAACGTAGTATATATTTAACTTTATTTCAATGTCTCTATATTGAAACAAAATTATGACTTGCTTAACAAATTTATAGAAAAGACTATATCGAGTCGAGTATTATTAACAAGATACATCAATGCACCGGTGACACTAAAATATGGTACTTCGGGACCAAGTAGTTCTTCGTTATTTTCTCGAGGTCGAAAAAGGTCTTTTTGGATATTAAGTGAATGAACTACCATTGGATTAGTCAATGAATGATCTTTATATAAAATCATTATAGAACCTTTTTCTATATAAATTGATCGATGAATGAAAATCTCATTCTCCGAGTGCTCGAACTGCGAGTAGAGATAACATTTTTTTTCCAAGATATTCACATCAAATTCTCTTTTTAGGTAACTTATGACATTTGGAATCTCTTCGGGAGTTCCAATAATATTTAAGTTATCAACATATACAACAAACCTCTTTTCAAATAAAAATATATGAATAAATAGGGTTATTTTTTATAACTTTCTTTTAATAAATAATCATTAAAGTGATTATATCACATGCACATGGGTTAGTAATAAACGAGTAGATATAAAAATAAAATATAAAAAGTATAAATTAAATTTTTAAAAACCCAAATAATAAAATAAATACTAAAATAATCCTAATAGAGATCTCTATAATTTAATTGAATTCTTATCTCGAGAATATATATTAC